TTTGTGGCACCAGCATCTTGATCTCTCCTTAAATTGCCCCAAGGAGCTGCTTTTGGGGTAGGACTTGTCCATAAGTATCCCACCCACACCAAGGAGATGCCCAGCAGCTCTCGTGTTGCAGCCATCAGCATTTATCCTGATCTTGCAGAAGGGCTTTCCTTGGCAGCCCCTGGCAGTTCTGAGCAGTGGCACAAAAGCCAACTTGGCACTGGCATTGTTCAGTCCTGTTTGTTGGAGCCACAGGTAATTACTCCCATACTTAATGAATCACATTACTTTTATTGATGAACACAGAGGCTACATGCTGGAAAGAGGAGGTTAGGATTAAGTTTTATGGCTTACTGCTGCTATGAGAAGGAGCATCTAGACACCAATTAATGCCCCCTTGATGGGATTAGCCATTGCCTTAACTGCAGCTCTGGATAAAATTGCTACGTCTGTGACTTTCGACTTTAACTTCTTAAATATTGTAGATATGAAGAAAATTCACTTACATCTTAAATGGAAATGACATTTAATTCTAGATACAAAAAACTTGCAGCCTATTTACATTTCCTTGTGATTTATACCTCCTACTACATGGATAAGAAGACTTATCTGAAGTCTTTATTTCATCCCTGTAGAGTTCAAAGATCAGAAAAATTTCAAACATAGAATCTGTGATTCCTTCAGTTGCTGTGCCAATAATTCCAACTTGGAGTGTGTATAGTGGAGGTTGTAATGGCAGCAGCCTCTCCCCATGAGATGCCATGGCTTTCCAGCAATTACGGTGAAGTCTGAACATCTACATAAAGTTTTTGAGGGGCTTAATTTGGTTTTTGTTCCCACTGGTGCAGGCTGGGCACATGTTGAGGTTTCTTTTCTTTCAGGGCAAGTGTGAATCATGAGGGTCAAAGCCAAGCATTTATTTAGGAGAGGGGGAAAAAGTGTTTGTCAAACAAGTTTTTGTGTGATCTGCCAGTGTTACAGCTGTGGTGGACGAAATCCCCACAGTCTTGAAAACATTTGCCCATGTAAATATAATTTTAAAGTTTTTTGTCAGTATGGAAGAGATCTACCTGTTACAGCATCCTTCAGGTGCATCCCTGGGCTGGTGGGACAGGGATTATGGCTCTGCCTTGGCCTTGGGTGCCTCCATCCTTACTGAGCCTGGGTGAGCTCCTAAACCAGCAGTGAGTGTCCAGGTATCTGCATGGCCAAGGGCAGGTGAGATGCCAAGGGCTGCAACTGCTTGAGATTCCTCTTTCAGTTTTCCATTTGGGCTTTAATCTTCTGATAAGCCACAGGTGCAGTGGAGGGGGGAAATGTCAAGGTAAATGAAGACTTCAAGAGCAGCATTCATTCCTCAGGGGAAAAATAACTTCAGTCATCAGATATTTTTCTTGGGCAGAAACAAGAAATAAGAGATGAGGTGTTTGTGAGAGCATGATGTCAATCCTGACTGACAGTCCCTGTCCATCACTGCTGCAGTGTGAGGACAGTGCAGAGAAGAAGGAAATAAATGATAACTTGGAGTTGATCACCTGCAGTGTTTGCCAGCCCCAGAGCTCTGCCTGCTCTGCATGGCAGGGCATTGGCTGAGTGGGAGGCACCTTGTCACACTCACTCTTGGCACTTCTCCCCATTCCCACACTGGTCTGGATGAACACAGCTTCAAGGAATTCATCTTCTTTGCATTCCTAAGGAAAGGAGGACAAGAATTCTGTGCAATATTTTCTTGAAAGGCTGCCTCTTTTCATGTCTTCCTCCAGGACTCCAGCTTTTCCCAGCCACTTTCCGCATCAGTAGGTTGCTCCTTTGGGAAAGCAGAAGTTAATTTCTCATTATTATCATGCATAGATGCAGAAGATGGAAGATAGTTCCCTCCTGTTGTCCCCTGGCTCTGTGATAACTTCACAGCCAGAGAAAATATCATGCAGGTGAAAAATGGCACCATGCAGGCTGTGTGCAGGAGCCATCCCTCAGTGTGCTGGGTGGAAGGGATGGAGAGGATTTGTCACCCAGGCACTGGGGGCAGCTCCTGCTCATGCACTGGGAGGTACAGGTGTGCTACCTCTGCTTTATGGTATTAAACATCCATATTTGTCCTTTGAATATCCTCCTTGGATTGGCACTGGAATAAATGCAGATGAGACAATAAAAAATAACTCTTAGAGCCATGGACCTTCTCAAGGAATGGTTCTGGCTGATTTTGCTCTGTTATCTTGAAAAGGAGACTCTTGGATTTGCAGTATTTGCAATTCCCTTTTGGCACCCCCAGCTCCTGAGGCAGTAAAACGTAGTTTTCATTAACTGATATGTCTGACATTTACCACATCTCGATGTGACAATTTAGAGGGAACTGGTTAAACTGAAAAGCATTTTTAATATTGCAGTAATGTGATTAAGGGGAAATCTCTGTCCTTCAGGCCAGAGGGACCTAAATTTGAGCACTAATGGAGTGACAGATGGAGCATCAGTTGACCAAAATATCCTAATCTTAACTTGCCTTCTGTTTATTCCCTCTTTGAATCCTGGTTCCTCTTAACAAGATAAGTAGGTTTAAATTCCTGTGACCCAGGTGGGAAACTTAATCCAAAAGAAACAAAACCCACTCAGAGCAGGACTTAGAGCCAGAGGTCAGTATGCACAGCTGAGCTGGGTGTCAAATCCAAAATGACCTCTCTGGAAAATCATCCCTGGAAATCCCATTTCCTCTGTTCCTCCCTCTTTTTGTCTTACTGGGGGAAACTCTGATTTATCCAGTGGCCTGGATTACTCCTGAGCTCTGTCAGGAGCCCTGGGTCTCCCCAAGCAACAAGCTCAGATCCATGGCTGCAGGGGATGATTGTTCATGTTAAAAATAAGTATGAAAATAGAATTTAGAATCTTCTTCCTGGCTGTAGCAGGAATAATTTGGGCAAAAGTAGCTCTTAGGCTGTTGTGTCAATTTGTGGGAGCCTTGGCTGTAGATAGCAGGGTGAGAGGGAGGAAAGCATTCCAGATCTCATCAATACTTGAGACAAAAGGCTTTCTGCTTTGCAATTACTCTTCCTGTCCTTCCCTCTCCTTCCCTCAGGCCACAGGCAAGAAACCAAACTAGAGATTAGGCAGCTTTTAAATGCCACAGGCTTGTAAAGGAGAGGAAATCCAGAGCTGATCAGGAACTGCAGCCTGCACTCAGGCTTGTGACTTTGTCCCTCTCATCTGCAAAGGCAAAAAGGAAATCCCCAAATTCAGTCTGAGTGGCAAAACCCCCAGGGATCTGGGCTGGAGTCACATCTGTCACATGCCCTGGGAATCCCCGGCAGGCTTCCCCTGCTGTGCCTTCCCACATGATCACTCGGCTGCTCTGGGCTCTGTCTGAACGCTGAGGGATGGATGAGCAGGGCAGAGCTTTCCTCTTTTCTTCCTTACAGTGGGTGAAATGCAGCAGCAGCGTAGATCAGGTTCAAATTGTGTCTCATCTCATGAAGTTATCTTTAAAAACCAGCTGCTTTCTGTGAGCCTTAAAGCAGCTCGATACACTCTTATCAAAATCGAAAACCGCTCCAGAGATCCTTAAGAGATTTTGTTTCATTGGGCTCAATTTTCTATAAATCTCGTTAACTGCTTTGCCAGTGCCCTCTCACTGTGTTCTTTTTTCATTGCAGAATCAACCAACAAACCCTGTTCCAGCCCTGCAGAGCAGCAGCCAGGCTGCAGAGCTCAGCTCTGCCCTGCCTGTGCCCGCGTGGCACCGAGGGCGAGGGAAGCAGGATTTCCCTGGCATCAGAAGCCTCCAGCTCCTCTGTTTTGTGGAAAACCATGTGTGTGAGGGCAGGGGCAGCAGGCAGGAGCTCAGCTCTCTCTGCTTTTCATTGCCTGCCCTGGGTGACTCCTCTGCCACAGACACAGCCCAAAGGTGCCTGGGGGATCTCTGGTGTTGTGAGAAGGGTTTAAGCTGCCACGTGCACTGACTGGGGGTTTATAGAATAAACACTGAAATGAGATACAGAATACCTCCACTGAATTAATGCACTGTCTCCGGTGCTGTCAAGCAGATACCGTGGCTGTGCTGACACCCCAGTGTTTATTTCAGGGTGATGAGGAGGAGGAAGAGAGGAGGAGCAGCCTCCCCAAGCCCTTGGGTCCAGGCTGCTGGGACCTGGGGGATAGGAGCAGGTCTGGTTTGGGAGGATGGGGCTTGGCTTTCTGGCCACAAGCAATAAATATTTGTGTGTGTGTGGAAAAAATGCTCACTGCCTCCCAGCTTGGAGGGTATTTGTATTTCTTGATGTTACAACAGACTTGCCTCAGTTGTGATTTGGCTTATAAATAGCAAAATCTCTCTACACCCAAACTGCAGTGGCTCCTGTCTGCTGGGCATCACCATGCCTTTAAGGACATTTCCAATTGCCATGGTAGTTTTTAAGTGGAAGAAGTTTTTGTGTGTCTTTGAAGTTGAACAGGTGCTCAGAAGGGAGCAGGTTACTCCCTGTCTAGCACTGATCTAAGCAGAGCAGTGAAACCAATGTGTAAGCTCATGCTTTTATCCTTCCCTTCTGTTTTGCTTGTTTATTGTCATTTTAAGCCAACATCCATGTCCTGGTGCAGCCTTAGAGGTGGTTGGAATCTCATTCTGCTGATGTGTTAGGAAGAGAGAGAAATTGTAATTAAATAACAACAATATTTTTTTTCCCCTAAATTTTCTTTCCTTCTAATTTTCAGCATGTAGCAGTCAAAATACATCCAGTGCAAACGTTGGCTATTTTATCAAAATTCCTTTATTTTTTTTTCTTTAACCTATCACTGGCACTTCCTGCATTAGGTACAAGATCCTCACAGAAGAGTCTGCAGATTGCAGACATCACTTCAGCCAGGTAACAGCAGCAAAAGGGGAGCATTTATTTTATTTGACACCAAATCCTGACTGTTGCTGTTCTGTGGCGCCTTTTGCTGGTCTGTGGGACATTGTTCCATAGAAACTTTCAGTCTGGTTTTGTTGCTTTATGTAACCCAAACCTATTTCTTGCTTTTAGACCACAGAATGGTTCTATGATCCTGTACAACAGAAAGAAAGTGAAATACAGGAAAGATGGATATTGCTGGAAAAAAAGGAAAGACGGGAAGACCACCAGAGAGGATCACATGAAGCTGAAGGTGCAAGGAGTGGAGGTAGGAGCATGGTGGGGGTGGCTGTGGGCTGTGCTGGCTCCCCAAGACACCTCAACCCAACAAAGGCTGTCCACACCTTCAGAAAATGACTCCTATTTGCTGAATTCCATCTGTTACCTCTGGTTTAGGTCTTAGCTGCTGGCTGGGGTTAAACCCCAACTCACCCCATCCCCAGCAAATATATTTGTTCTTTATTACTCCTTTGAGCAAACTGTGAGTACAGCTCCAGCACCCCCCTGTGTGGCTGCTGGCTGGGCTGTGTGACTGTAGAGTGTCTCCACACTGAGCATCTTCTGGTAAACTCTCATTTTTGTACCAGGCACTGCCCAAGGGCAGTCTGACACCTCAGGGTGGGCTGCACAGCACTCTGTAACCATGGCAGCTGGAATGGCTCCAATTTATTCTCACAAATCTCAGCTAAGTTTTGGTAGCAATTGCTGTAATTTCTGTGTGCTGATGGAGTGTTGGTCTTGCAGCATGCAGGGGAAGGATTTCTGTTGAGTTTGACCGAGAATCCGTGTGTGTTTTGAGAGAACCTTTGCTCTGCTGATGGTATTCAGCCACTCAGACACATTCATGCAAGCAATTGCACCTGAGGCATTATTTCTGATCTGAATAAGCTCATTTGTTCTAAAATATGTCATTGTTTGACACCACTTTTCTTTCTTAACCTCCATCTGCATGAGGAGAGAGCTGTTCTGATCACTCTGGTCACTTCTGATGTTAAAGGTTTGCACAGGTGTGGATAACAAGTGCATTTATGCAAGTTTTCTATTTATTAAAAAGCAATTACTTGTTCTGGTAGCAGAAGCCCACGTGCAGAGCTGTGCCCAGCTCATTCCTAAGACAACACTGGCTACCAAACTTGGGGCCAAAGTGGTCCAAAGCTGTGAAAATGTGTAATTGCAGTGTTCAGCTGTGTTGTTTTGGCCAAGCAGAGCGTGAGGCTGCCGGGTGTGTGTTTGTGCAGGCTGGGTTGATTTTACAGCTGACAGCCTGTGAGCCTGGCTGGGGAAATTGGGGTTTCCATGACAGGCAGAGCTTCACCTGTGTCTCCAGGCCTGTCTGGCTGATGCTTTGCAAGGATGAACCTCCCTCCTGTTGGGGTGAGGGGCACCCTGCTCTCCCCACGTGGAGCTGAAACTCCCCCAGCATCCCCAAAATCAGTGCCAGCAATGGAAAAGGGATGAGTGCCCAGAATTCATCTCGTGCTCCAGCTTCCTCCCAGCTCATTTGTCATTCTTACATTCTGTCTGCTCTAATGAGGTTTTGGGGTTTAAAATAGTATTAAATGGATTGCATTATATTACACCAGAGAGGCATAACTTTGTTCCATAATTTTTACATCCAATAACAATGTTTTATTATGACAAGCACAAAAAAAAAAAAAGTCATCATCACAGAAATGGTGCCTTGTTTTTGTTTTGGGTTTGCACAGTGTGATTTAATTAACTTCTGTAAACTTTCACAGTTCAGAACACCAGACCCTGTGCTGTCCCTTTACCTGTAGCAAGAGATTGTTGTTGACCTTTGGCTGCCACGTGAGCACACAAGAAAATAAATGGGATTTTCTTGGGGCTATTCCAAAGCTGGAGCTATCCAGCCCTTTAGTGCCCGACTGCATGGATGTGGTGGTGATTGTGTTTAGCTCAAAGAACCCTGCACTGAACCCATTAATTTCTATTTTATTGAAGTGTGTCTCCTGGAAAGTAGCAAATATGGGCACATCTGGAGCTGGAGGAAGCACAGCTTTCAGGGATCCTCCTTGTGGCTGATCACATTCACCACTCAGGAAAATAAGTGTTGAACTATTTGCTTTGTGATTTGGATGTACCAGGGTTTAGCCATTCATTCCTACATCCTTCTCCAGCTTGAGAGCCCTTTAGTACCTGATTTTCTGTCTTCAAGGAGGTACTTGCACCCTCTCATCCACAGGCAGCACCTGGGTGGTCACTGCCAGTCTCTGTTCTCAATGATGCAGAAGTTGTCTGTTCTCTTGACTTCCAGGTGTTTCTTGGGCAGAATGATGTAGTTTTAACCTTATTAATTAATTACTCAATCAGTACACCTTGCTGCTTCACAGAGAGCATTTTTGCTTTAGGTTGCTGATACCATTTTAAAAGGAAGCAATGTTCTCAACTTGGACACGTAGGCAGCAGATTTAAAATAACAAAAAAAGGCTTTTTTCAAATTTGGAGTGATACCGTAGTTAGCCGCATTAGGGTTTAACAGGGCATGAAATAACTGTCTGCCTTGTGGCACTGCCAGATCATCTCAGCAACTCTTGCAGCCAGAAGATAAATAGGGATCATTGTTGCACTGATGGAAAAGTACTTGCAGAGCCGACAGCCAAGAGCATCAATAGCATCCAAACATTGCTCTGGAAATGGCAGCTCGGAGGCAGGGAAGGGGAACATGCTGGCCTGTGAAACCACTGACCAGCCAGTCCTGAACAGGGATTTGTATTAGAAGGTTTAATAATTAATTCCTTCCTGAGTGTTGTCAGTGTGATGGCTCCTTTGTCTTTCCGAGTTTTGGGTAAATAGAAAAATACATTTTTGAAACAAAAAGTCTGCGTCCTGAGGGATGTTGATGTCTATCAGAACCCTGTAGAAGGATTTGGTGAGCATGGGTGAGGCAGCTAAAGCAAATTTAGGACATAAATAAGGAATAAACTACTTTGACTCATTTAAATAAATATGGATTAGGAGGAATAAACTACTTAACCAAGTGGATGTTAAATGAAAATAGCCTGAAATCCTCAAGCTGTTGCCTTGGTTAGCATTGCTGTACAGGAGGGGTTTGGGTATTACTTGGTTAATCTGATCACAGTCCTGCTAGAAAAGGCTGGATAAACCAGAAAGGAGAAGTTAATTTGGCCTTTCCCTTAACACACCTCTTTGTGCAATTCTTTGTGGAATCTCTGGTCTGTGATCCTTTTTAAAATTCTAATTAATTAGGATCCCTGGTGATGTGTTCCTAATCAATTCACATAATTAAAAATATTAACTAATAAATAATAGTAAGGGGAGTGTTGGAATAGCTTTGCCATGACTCTGGATGGTGCTGCTCTGCTTTGCAGGCTCCTGGCTCAGAGGATGCTTTTCTGCCTTTTCTTATGTGTGAACTTTTCCAGGAGAGTGTAACTGTGCCTTCACGTGAATTTGTAGTAAATTGCTGCCAGAATTAAAACGAGGTCATGTTTTTATAGTGAATTTCCTTCTTGTCATCTGTGTTTTGGAAGGTTGACACTGGTCAAGCTGCTCTTTATCTTGTGTTGAGGATATTTTAGTCTCTCCAAACCCCAGTGCCTGAGAAGTGGTTGTGGACAGGGGCTGTCCCAAGGCTGGGGCAGAGCTGTGCCCCTAGTCCCAATACCTGAGCTTCTGTATTTGGAATTTCTTGTAGATTGGGTGTTTGTTACCTTGGTACAATATGGTAATCTTTATGAATTCCTTAAAAAGAAAAAAAAAACAACAAAAAAGTAAAACTTGATTTCAGTCTTATTAAGAGAGAAACTCCCTTGTGGAGATGGAGATGCGAAGTATCAATTTTGTATGCAGGACTTGTATTTAATTAATATCATAACAGTCCCTTAACACTATTGCAGATTAGTCCACGAGGACAGGAATGAAAATTTTAGATTATTCAATTACTGCATAAACCCTGGGACATCACCATCAAAACTTCACACGGGTTTTGTAGCATTTGGGTTTTGGCAGCATCCCTGTGCCCACCCTGGGTCACCAGAGTGGGGACAGCATCAGTGACCTCTGCAGCCTGGGGCACCTGTGAAGGACCAGAGTTTTCCTTTTGGTAAATGACCAAATGGGCTCCTCTGCATTGTGCAAAATATCCACCCTGGAATACTGAGCTGCAGAGTGGTTTTACATCTCCCTCTTTTCCCTGCTGTTGTGGGTGAAATCTGCTCAGTTGTCATGGGAGGGTGGGAGGTGGAGGTGGCACTTTGGAGCAGCCCTAATCTGGAGAGGGATTCCTTGGGCAGCCTGAGCCAATTCTCTGCAATTCACTTTAATTTACGTGGGCTTTGCTCACCCTCAGAGGTGAGCTGTGTAGTTTGCAAACTAATTAGGATCACATTGTTCACTCAGCCTGCTTAATGCATTTCAGAGAAATACTGTGGAATGGCTTTGGAGGAGAAAGGAGAGTTTAATGTGAGAGGCTTTCTGGAATTATGACACACACGTGTGCATATATTAACATAAACAAGTGGCCCTGAACAAGGGAGAAACTGCTCACAAGGAGGGGCACTTTTATCTTCTTCATCATTGCTGCAAATATCATTGTCCTGACACCTCTCCTGAGATTTCACTGATCCCCTTTAAAACCAGCCTCTGTCTTAAGCCTCTGTAGCTCATTAGGGATCAGCAGCATCTCTCCATTTTTTCTGGGGCACTCTCACCTTTGCTGTGGCACTCTCACCTTTGCTGTGGCACTCTCACCTTTGCAGTGTGCACATCTCCACAGTGGGCACCACAGGCAGATGCTTGTGCAGAATTGTGGAGGTGTTGACTGCTCATGAGCTGTGGTTGGGATTTATTCCTGTTCCAGCTGGTGTTTATGGCACCTGGAATGCAGGGTTGTGATGGCATCTTAATGATTCCTGTGTTGGAGGCAGTCCTGGGAAATGGGAGCATTGTTTTGCCATTTCTGAAGGGGAGTATGGATTATTGTTAAATCCAGAATGGATCTCCTGGGAGTCTCTTCAGAAGGGAACATACATATCAATAATCCTTTTGTATATCAGGGCCCTGATGTATTCTCCTGCAGTAACATCAAGTCACAGCAAATTCTCTTGAGTTTTGGCTTCTTTTCCTAATGCATGTCCAGAAGATATTTTTCTTCACAAGACCCATAACATTCCTAATCCTTTAATTGTCATGGTTTATTTAACTTCATCAGTAGAAGTTTTCCTAGTATCTGGGTGTCTCAGGATGAAAATTCAGGCTGAGATCAGGGCCTTGGAGATGCTCTGCCTG